AATTAAATCATATAATACGAGTCGTGTTAGTTTATGTCTTTAGAATGCCTTGGTTGATTGTTGTTGTTGATGTTATTGTTTATGTTGTTATTATTAGTGATATTGTTGTTGATCTTATTGTTATTGTTTTTGTTATTATTGTTATATGAGTGAGATACATTGAAATCGATTAACCATGAGTCAAAGTTATAGTAATGGCATCTATATGATGCATGTACACGTATCCCAACCAACATTGTCTAGTCAAGGTTATTGTTATTCATTAATTGCACTTATTGTACCATTAATAACACGATAATATTGGCTTTTGTCGAGAGGTGGCAACTAGAGACAAACACCTTTCATATGCTGTTCAAAAAAATGACCATCACGTTACATATATCGATCATTGGCACCATGGTTTCAATGAATCATTTGACCATCGATGAGTCAAACACATTATTGGTAAAGCTACGTGGAGTTTCTATAGATGAGGTTAGAATAGAGATTGCACGGGCTAAAGGATTTGCTATTTGACTCCAATGGCTATGGGATACCTTTAGGCATGTCACAGATGCATCAGATGATGAGGTGATTGTTTATACATTCTAGGCATTTTTACTACATTTGCCAGGGTGTATGCTGTTCGTTAACAAGATTCCATTGAGAGTATTAGTAGCATACTTACCCTTATGATTGACTACACTGCCACGAGTATATTTGCTTGAGGGATAGCTTGCTTTACATATTAGTATAGGTAACTAGGCATTATGAATAGGGCAAACATGCATTAGATCATTGGATATCTAACACTTCTCCATGTATGTATTTATAATTAGTCAAAAATATATTATAATTATTTGATTCATTTACTATTACTTATATATATGATTATCTAGTTAAATATTACTTATGTATTTCATGTAGGTGGAAGAAGTGAATTTACAAGCATTTTTCATCATTTAGCCCAGTGGCTATATTGACATACTCAGACAATTTAATGCATGCTAAACAATGTAAGACTCGTACTTATGTCGATACATTGCAAGCCTTATGGGAGTGCCTAGATGAGTTGATAGTATCTGATGTGTGCTACTAACCATAGGTTGATTGACAGGAGATACATCCATTGCACGACATTATCTTTTTTACTGGATGCATCAAGTGAGGGGCAATTGTAAACTTGTATCATTTGAAGAGGATTTTACGACAATTCAAATTTGTACAAACTATTCCTTTAACCCTATTAGCCCTATCTTGGGCTAATTGAGGAGCATCATCCAACTAGTATGATGTTGCATATCAATTCCTACACTATTACTAGGATATATAGGATATGCATGTTGTACTAGTTGAGTATCAAGGTCGAAGATGTGAAAGATTGAAAGAGTGTTCATCTAACTATAATGCCTATTTCGTAAGATTTTCACACTATTAAATTCAAAATCCATAGCGTCGATTCGGATTCCAGCCTTAACCAGTAGATACTGCACCTATGAGTGATTCAGTCAATTATAAATTTTATCATTTTATGGTTTTTCATTACTTTGTTAGTTTTAATTATATGATATCAATACTGATAACCTTATTAATATTTTGTAATGGAGCTCGGTTGCTTTAGCTTTAATTAAGCATGTATTATCTAGTGGATTTTATCAAAGTATTAACGTATGAAGAGATGCAATTATCAAAGTACATACCTTATTATCTGAGTCATCTACTGTAGCAAACAGCAACAGTCAGTCTAGATTAGCATTGACTCATATACCATCAAATCATATATTCGGATGCCCTAAACCAGCCAGGTCATCCATGCCTACTCCGTCTTCAGTCTAATCGACACCGACACCTTCGAGATTGTTTGTGCCCATTCTATCTTTAGTCCCATCAATATTAGTACCTCCAAACCCTCTCGTGCCCTTACCATCCTCACCACCACCAACAGTGACCATGGCATCATCCTTACCTAGCTTTGCCCTTCGAAGATAACTGTATCTATCCTACCATAGAATTTCCCATAGATAACAAAGCCCACTCGTCCACTGCATGTATATCTTCAAGTCAAGAAATCGAGGTATAAGGATTGATGTATTTATTACTATGTACTAATATTTTATGTGATATTAATTTTATATTTGTTAAGTATGTTTATATTTAGTTTATATTTATAGAATATCGATTAGATTACCTGTTCAATATGGCACATCTCATTAGATGACATGTTTAATATATAAAGCATAAACAAATATATAAACCATAAACATTAATATAAACTATTAACAATTATTACAAAAAATAATCAATCACTATGTATTGTTTTTTTAGTGACCATATTAGAATTTGTACTAAACAATAACTTGAAATCTTCAATGTGGGTTACATATGGAATCTCCCACCCTTGAGCATAATTATATTGAATCCTACGCCAATTGCATAAAATAGGAGATATTTGTGAAAATGACTTCATTAACACTTGCATAAAATAATAACATTATTTATATAATGTCATTAACACCTACATAAAATAATAAAGATAAAAATAAACAAAAAATGACAACACTAATTAACAGTACCTACACAAAATAACAATCATTAACAAATCCAATTGTAATTACTCTGTGCTCCAATGGTACAGATGGCTCAAATCTAATAGGGAAATATGTTAGGCACTTTTTTTCAAACTGATATGTATTAGCACAATGTTATATCGGGAGGTAATCAAATAACTTATATTAGGTAAGGTCATCCATTTATCGTATGAGGCAGAAGTGTCGAAACATGGTAAGGTTTGTAACAATTCCTTAACATGCTCCATGGATCCATACAAAGTCACATAATCGTCTTAAAACCAACTAAGCTCTTCAATTAAATCTTGTTACACCTGTACCCAATAATCTAATCCCAATCCAAGTAACCTAGCAACAGAACAAAAACCATAATTTCTCTCTACCTTAACATGAATAATGCTCTATGTATAAGGATATAACTTTACTGATAAATTATCCAAAAAATGTATTTTTTGTTTGCCATAAGGTTGGTGAATAGGAAGTTTAGTAATCTATGTTTTGGGTTTCACTGAGTTTGCAATGGTTGGTGGTAATATACTATCCTTAGTTGATAACACAATCTCTAGTGTGACGGGTCACATCGTATAGAAGTATCTATTTTTATAGCTCTGTGACCTTTTGGCTTAGCTTTCTCTAATGGTGGCATTAAGGTAGTTGTGGACAGATCACCAAGTTCTCATTGATCATCTTCTATACTGATTCAAAATACCCCTTAGATGATCCAAGGTGCCTTTTTAATTTCAAATGTATGCGTTCATCCCTAAACAAATTAATAAAGATATATTAATGATTTATTATGAAACATTAAAAACCATAAATAATCTTAACAATGTAACATGAATCATACTTATTTGTTGTAACATTACTAAAGTGCATTACTTTATCCATCCAAGTAGTAATAAATTTGTTTTTATGCTTTGCCAACCATTAATCTTTCATATACTTTAATGCACTTAGATAAGTTAGGTAATCAATTTTTAATGAGCGTAAATGCCTTTCGATCTCATCATCGGTAGATGAATACATCAGTACATTCCAATCAGACATGAATTCCTCCCATTTCTTTTTTTGCTCAAAAAATTTCTTACAATTCGTATACACATTCCTTGAGATATGTAATTTACAAATAAGATTGATTGTGTTAGGAAACGCTACCTCAATGCCATTCATTAATGCTAACTCTCTATCAGTAATAATGAAAGTAGGAGATTTACTAGCAGACATCAAAATTTTTTAACTTATCTGGTGCCCAAATATAATTCTCAAACCATTTAGCCTCTATGTACACAAATACAATAAAAAATGTTATCTCAATAAAAGTCACACCAACAATTTCAAGTAATGGCATATAGTACCTATTTGTTTTATAAATGCAATCCATAATCAAGATATTTAGAAAAGTTTATAATAACTCTACACCAATAGGATGAGCCTAGAATAGGTTTTTCACACAGTTGTTTGACTCCTCAGTCCTATGCTAGTTTAGGTATTTATAATCAGTCAACTTTTTCATGAGTTGTTGAATTTGCGATCTTATCAGCTTTCTCAATATATTTGTGTCTTTGACATTTATTGTATCATGTCTTTATAGTACTAACATTCTTTTTGTCTTATTATTTTATGTTCAACAGTATGTTTTTAGATCTAACCAACTGTTTGACATATCAAAACTATTCTCATTTTCTTTTTCAATTAATCAACCTACAAATGGATATCCCTCTAATTATTTTGCTGGTAGGTGATTGTGAAGTCCACACACTACTTTCGCTCCCCATTCATCCTTCATTGCTAACATAATCCCATGTAACTCAAATGGGCAACCACACTTTTTCCGTTCTCATTACATACCACAATATGTTAAAAAATTATAATTAGAATAAATGTCTAGATAGTTTTTTAAAAATTTATGATATATTTTTGAAAATTCATTTTTGAAAATTATGTTGTATTTTTGGACATGCATTTTAAAAAATGCATCACAACTTTCGAAAATGATTTTTTAAAAATATATCATAATTTTTAAATATTCAGTTTTGAAAATTATGATGTATTCTCAAAAATGAATTTTCTTAGATATAAAAATATCAAGCTCGAATGGATTGAGATTTCATTATCTTATCGAACTCATCTCTCTTATTATTGTTTCTCATTTCTCTATTCTTATTTATATAGTTTGCAAGATTTAACAAAGGTTTCAACAATGTGGTTTTAATTTTAAAGATTTAAGACTTAGTATATGAGAAAGAAGGATAAAAGAGCAAGAAGAAAAAAGAAGAAAAGGGAAAAAAGAAAAAAAAAAAAGCTAGGTTTATAGGATGTATGAGGATATTTTTGTAATTTATTAAAAGATAAAATTAATATTTATTATGTAAATTTTTAAATTATACGGTGTAAAGATAGATTTTTATGATGTATTTAAAACACCTCATAAAAATTCATCACACTTATTATTATTCACTTTCAAAAGAAAAAAAGGCACAAAATGAGTCAATCACCTGTTTCCTTGGAAACCACTGCGCCAACGTCTTCCAGCTTGTTTAAACAAAAAACCCACGTACCCAACCCTAACTTAAATTAAATAAATTACATAATCTCCTTCCAACTTGAACAGCTTTTGAATAAAAAATCCAAAACAAAAAAAAAATCTTTTTTTCGCTTTTTAACATACTCATGGGGACAAGTTGTAATGGTTGTCGAGTCCTTCGCAAATGCTGCAACGAAAACTGCACTATAAGACCTTGCCTCCAATGGATTCCTACCGCCCAATCTCAATCTAATGCCACTCTTTTCCTTGCTAAATTTTATGGTCGTGCTGGCCTTATTAATCTCATTAATGCTGGCTCTCAAAAGCTTCGTTCTGGTATTTACTTTATCTTTTTTTTTTTATCTTTCCTAATAATACTTTTATTAAAAAGTGCTCTCTTCTGTTTTTTTTTTTTTTTCTTAAAGAAATTTTTAAATCATTGCTTTACGAAGCATGTGGCCGTATAGTGGATCCGATTCACGGTTCGATCGGATTGATGTACTCCAAAAAATGGCATCTATGTCAAGCAGCCGTTGACGCAGTTTTAAGTGGTGCTCCGATTAATCAAGTTTCTTCTCAAATATCGGCTTTAAACTGCTCACCCGCTAAATACGCATGTGACATTCGACACGTGTCAAAGGACAAGAATACCGATGATGGGCTTCGCAAAGTCAAGCCTCGGGGACGGTTTAAGCGGTCGGCTTCAAAACCGAAGCCTAAAGTGGAGAAAGATGTGTATGAGTCGGCGTGTATTCGCGGACTGAGTTTGCGAGTGGATAGTGGGGAAGGTGACGTCGTGTCGGTGGAGACGGTGGAGGCTTCGTTGGGCGATGATAGTGATTTGGAGTTGGAGCTGACTCTTGGGTTCGAACCAAAGCCAAAGAAAAGAGAACAATGTCAACGGCTCTGATGATGCCACCTGTGGAGGCCAAGTGGAGGTTGGTCGGGGTTCGTGTTAGGTTTTTGTTGTTAGTCCGTTATATAAATATAAATATAAATATAAATATAAATATAAATATAAATATAAATATATAGCTTTTGAAAGTGTCGAAGAACCGTGTGTCAAGTAAAGGTTATAAAAGTTGGTCTACAAATTTTTTTTTTGTTTGATGTTCTTTCTCTTTTTCAAAGGAAAATACTGATTTCATTTTATGGTAAAATTGGTTTATTATGTCTCCTAAAGGATGAATTTGGAAATTGCCATAGAAGATAATTACTAATAAAAGATTGAGATTATTATTACACAAGTTTCCATTTCCATTGAGATTAGTTAAATGTCTTAAAATTCTAAGGTCTTAAGTTTAAATTTTAATTTATATGAGTTATAATTATTTAATTATATTTTAATTTGTTAATAGATTTTTCAGTGATTATAATTTGATTATGATATAATAATTAATTATTTAATTGATTATATAAATATAATATTTGATTATAATTATAATTTTAAAAAATAGGTCATTGTATGTATTTATTAACTGTTTAAATATAATTATATAGTATTATTCACATAAGAGATTTATGTATATTTCTACAAGTAATATTATGAGTGACGTAAATTTCTTAAGATATATTAAAAATAACAAAATTAATTAAAAAGTAAAGTATGTATTAACTTTTAACTATATTTATGGAATTAAAAAAATTTTCATAAACAATGTATCAAATAATTTTTCTTAAATATGTATGTATTTACCATTCAAAAAATCATGTACGTATTGTTATTCAAAAAATTCAGTTAGATTTTTAATTGAATATTAGTTCAAAAAACAGGTACGTTAGCTTAGATTTTTTAAAATTAAGGGTTCAAAAATTTAAAAGTATAATATTTTTTTTAATTTTTAATCTATCTTTGAATTCTTTTTTTTAATATTTATTGAATTGAAAAAAATATTATATATAACCTTTTTGAAATTCGTAATTTTTAAATATAAACTCTACTAATATGTCAATTAATCCAAAATAATTATGCATCTATAATATTCTCTTACAAAAAAAAAAAAAAAAAGAATTGGACTTCTCGTTGTCTTGGAAATATGCCAGAGTTTGATGAGTCGATGGCAGCATATTTGGCATGGACCGACCAGTCGACACAAAATTGGATTGGAATGTTGTTTTGGCTGATTAAATAACTGGCATTGCATATGGTTTCCCTAATGTCAATAATCAAGCAATTTTTTTTTCTCGATCGATAAACATAGTGAAGCATAAAACAACTTGCTTAAAAAAGTATTATAATTTGTGATGGCCCTGTAGAAAACAAAATTCTACATGTTCTTCAAACAGCCCATAGGAAAAATAAACAATCGAAACTAAAATTGCCGCCAGCTTCCCTAATCCATCCACTGATTTCCCTTTTCCACTTATAAATATATATTATATGCCAAAAGATTAATTTATATCTAAATATTTTAGGGGTTGGCTTTTGATGCCATCCGTGGGATGTGATCGGTACATTTTCTTCTTGTTTATCTAATTACTACTATTAGTATTATTTTTGTGGTAATCTAAACTTGACCTTGTTGTCGGTTGTCATCATTCTTTACCTAGAATGCGTGCCGTGCTTTTGTTACCAGAGTATCTTTATTTAGAGTTAAATGTTATGAAAGATTTTTAAAATATAATAAAATATTTAAATTTAAAAATTTATAATATAATATTTAAATTATAAATTTATTAATTAATATGATATTTAAAAAATTATTTATCTATTAAATATTATTATTTGAAATTAATTAGTTAGAAATGTATAGTCAATAAATTTATAATTTAAGTATTATATTAAAAATTTTTAAAATTTAAGTATCATATTAAATATTTTATTATTATTTATTAATCATTTATGACATTAATCATTTTATTTATGAATATTTAGTATTTTTATTTTAATATATGTAAATTAAGTTATCAAAACATATTTTATAAATAAATATTCATTTGTTATAATCTATCTCATATTATTCAATAGTTTTTTAATGATTAAAATAATTTTTTTTGATAAATTGAGTATTTTAGAGTCACAAATTGAATCTAATATATCATTTTTCCATTTCTAGAAAAAAATTAAAATATGCATTTGTTTGAATATTTACAAAGTTCTATGGATAAATTAACTCATAATATAACTTATAATAAAATCATTATATCAAGAGTTTTAGTGACATAGTGAATGTGTTAATTCTAAAAGCTTGAACCAAATTGAATACTAATCTTTATGATCTAAATCAAAATCAAATAAATCTGAACCAAAATTAATCAGTCAAACATTAAGGTTTAAATTGATTTTCAATTTTTTTAAAATTTTTTCGGTGGATAATGACCCCAGGCCAAATTAATTTATATTATTTAGCCATCAATCTCTTAAACTGTTGTGGACTCACTCAGTAACATCTCCAACAGAGATTTAAATCATAATTACAATCACGTTTTTTATTACGTTACGTTTATCACAGTTGTGAATATAACGGATAAAATAACAGTCACTGTACCTATCGCAATTGTGATTTTTTTTTTATTTTTACATAACTCATTATATAATAAAGTAAATTATATTTGTAATTGTAAAAACTCTTATTTTTTTATATTTAAAATAATTTAGAACATTTTAATTTCTTTATTTATATGAGAAAATAAATTATTAATAGTTTTTATATTATATCATTATAGTCAAATTAATCCGTATTTAAAAATTATTTAAATATATTTATGAATATCGTGATATTTACTATCATAATTATATAAGAGTGACAAAATAATATTATACATAAAAATTAAATATTTTTCTATCTTTTTTAATTATATGAAATTAAACTCATAAATTAATTTAATTAAAATTTAATGGATGAAAAATTTAATATATTATAATTCACAAATTAAATTTAACAACCAAACTTTAATCAAACACCAAAAAAAAAAAAAAAAGCAATAATAGTAAGTAGTAAAACTTTAGTCCTTTAAATTTAATTATTTTAAAACCATATTAATACATACAAAATACTCATAAAAATAACTTTAAAAAATCTCATAAAAATAAATTCATTTTTATCATATCATTTCCTTTCAAGTTTTATCTAAATTATTAAAAAAAATTTCTTAAATTCTTAATTTTTACTATTTAATTGCTTTCCCTCCCAACTTTGCATATAAAAAAATAATTTTAATTTTAATTTAAAGTTGCGTCACTGCTCTCCTGAAAATCCCCCTCTTCTTTTTCTCCTATGTTTCTTCTCCTACTCCACTCTCTCTTATCCCCTGCCTTAGTTCATTGTTTTAATTTTCTTCTCCATCCATGCAATCCTACCTACAACCAAACCCATCCATCCAACTTTATGTAGCACCTAAACTTTTATGACCTTTGCTTCAATTAATTTTCTATCTTTCATGTTTGGGCTCTTCTGTCTCAAGGTTGAAAAGATCAAAAATTCTCATCTACTATAATTGATAAGTATGGAAGCTATGAAAGAGCAGCACTATCTCTTTGATTCTTGTGGTTTGGTATGGATTTTTGTCTTTATTTTGTTACGTATTAAAATTTTGATGTGATAAAAATGAAGAAAAAATATCACAAAACCTTCAATAATAGGAAAAGTGGATCAATATTACTGCTATTTACTATTTCTCCGCTATTTAAGATTTTAAAGAGCTGCTATTGATATGTTTTATCTCTCTCATTTCTATAACAGAGGATAACAATTTCAGAAGCCAACGTTACCAAAAAATAACGGCCGCTATACTGTTATCCGACCCTTATTTGAAACCATGATCTCCAATATCTCAGAATCTCAATTGAAATATATATGTTTCTTGCAAATATATTTTTATGGTCTGGCGCGCCCTCCTTGAGGTTAGTTTTATGAAATTGAATGTGGATGGTTCAGCCTTTGGAAAGCCAGGACCTGCAGGAATTGGCATTACAGACTCCAATCTTCCAGAAATCTAGAAGCTTTTCCCTTCTTTGCTGCATCTGGTTTCACTCAAATTGGATCAAAGATGTCTCCAAAAGTTCCTCGGCGCTTGAAGAATTTTTCTAATCACATGCAACAACTTCAAGAAACGATAAAACTTGCCTATATACATCACTCAAATTCCAAAAGAGCAAAATGCTATCGCTGATTGTTTGGCAAAATCTGGTGTACAAAGAGCTCAAGTTCTTTCACTCTATTTCTCAATGCTCCCTTTGTTTTCTTTCTTTGTCTTTCTAAAACTTTATAACAATTCTTTATTAATCAAACATCCGTTTGCCTTTAAGAAGATGTTTAATATTATTTGGTGCTCATAATTTTTGTTTTTTTCTTTGAAAGATGAGAATTTGAACTCTATTTTTTATAGAAATTATACATGCAGTTATCATAATCGTACTTTAAATTTAAATAAAAATAATAAAAAACTAAAAAAAAAAGTTTATAAATTGACAAATGGTAGGAGATCAAACATTTTTTTTTAACTAAAGAGGCCATAATATGAAAAATAAAAAATTATAACTATTGACATCTGAATTTCAAATTTACTAATATTACAGTTGCTGCATGAACTAAGGCTCAGTTCTCTGAAAAAAATAAAAAAAAGTTCTGGTTCAGACAATTATGAGTTTGAAGAATGCTAGCTATAGTCAATTATGATAATTGCCTTTCAATACTTTAGAATTTACTGGAACACGTCAATTTTTTTTTCTTAAAATCTGAAAACAGTTGCCTATTATTCTAAGTTAATTTCATGTTTTTGTTTGATGAAAGATGAAAGATGAAAGAGGAAAGCTAATTTCGTGTAAAAAGATTGAAATTTGAAACCTAATTTTATTTATTTTTTATTTTTTTAATAATTATTGAAAATAGGAGAAGTCCATACTAACTTTATCTCAAACAATATATACATGGAAGCTTTTAAAAGGTTAAAGGAAATAGTACCTCTATATACAATCAATTGTTCTGTATTTTTTTCAACTCAACCTTCATTTCGTGAATCATAATAAATTTTTATCACAAAAACATTTTAATGCTAAATTTAGAGCGCCATATCTCTCTTTTTATTAACAATACAAAATGTTTTCTAAATAAAATAAAAATTCTTACTTTGTTTGAAAAAAAAAAGAAAAATAACAAAATTCTTTTTTTCGTAAACAACAAAAAATCACAGCGAACCAAATACAGAGAGTTCGGACTTTTTAAAAAGGAAAGAAAGAAGATTAGGTTATAACCGGTTTGAGGACTTCGCCGATTGTGAAGAAATTTGTGAGAAAAAGGACCTAAACAATTTTTCTATAAAGCTTAAAATTTTCTTGACCGCTAGTTAAGAGTAAGAGAAGATTGATGATTGCAAGAGAGATTTCATTTACAACTTTCATGCCTCAAGTAAATGAAAATCAACTGGGCCGAAAAACTACAAAAAGTAGTCCATAAATCAAATTTACGTGAAAGCCCAACCACAAAAACACAATTTCGAACACCCTAAATCGCCAAAATACTAAAACCAACCACAGAGCAAAGAAGAGCAGAGAGAGAGAGAGAGAGAGAGAGAGATGGGGAGGAAGAAGCGAGTGCCAGAGTTCGAAGAAACGGCGCCGGATGACTTCGACCCTGCCAATCCCTACAAGGACCCGGTGGCGATGCTGGAAATGAGGGAGCATATAGTTCGAGAGAAATGGATCGACATAGAGAAGGCGAAGATCCTCCGAGACAAGGTCAAGTGGTGTTACCGTATCGAAGGAGTCAACCATCTCCAGAAGTGCCGCCACCTCGTTCGTCAGTACCTCGATGCCACCCGCGGCATCGGTTGGGGCAAGGATGGCCGCCACCCCTCCCTTCACGGTTCCTATCTTTTCCTTTTTAATATATATAAAACTTTTATTTTATTTATTTTAAGCATGGCCGGTTGTTACTTTTATTATTTGCGTTTTGCTTCCTGAATAAATTTTAAAAAATTAATATTTTCGCCTAAGACAATGTATGGTTTTGCTTTTATGTCTAAATTTGTCTATTTTGTTAGTTTTTGATTGAATCTAAATTTTTTTTTTTACTACATTTTACTTGTTAACAACTTTTGAGGAAGTGAAAAACAAAGCAAGTAGTAAAAGTAACGAAAAAAATGAGCATTGAGCTGTTTTTTGTTTATTTATTTGTGGATTAGTCAACATTGTTCTTTGGGGAAGGAATGTCTGAACTGTATTAATTTTGTTAATGATTTGGGATTTTAGGTCCGAAGGTTGAGGAGGTTGAGTCAGAATGAGTGGCTGCAAACGGTTACGAAAGGTAGTCTAAGACCTTAATTCTTTCTTTATGTTATCTACTGAACAATCCATTTTACAGTTATTGGATCAACAGAATTATTTCTTGCTTTGTTGTTGTTCAACTGAATTATGATAATGTGAAGACAGGTTCTAATAATTCAAAGAGGATACATTAGAAGAATAAATAACTATATATGTGTGTGTGTGCACATGTGTGCAGAAAGGTGGATTAGGTGTCATATGCAAATTTGACTTGTGGATGCTAATTTTGAGAAATTGTTGAGTTGAAATAATACCAAAAATACAGATAAAGCTGGAATCATATTTTCAAAGTAGTTAAAGAATCTTTCATTTTCCAATCATTCGATGAAGATATGGGCTGGGAATGGAAAAATTACATTTTGTAGTGCTTGACCTAATCTTACTTGATATTGATAATTAAAATTAAATTGTAATTGATAATTAAATTAAATTGATATTGATAGTTTTTGTGTTACAATGTACTTGTGATGAAGGAGATTTGATAAGGGGAAAATGTTTAATTAGTTTCAAACTTGTAGCAATTTTTATTTAGATTGTTTTTTTAGTAGGCATTAATTTAAAATGAAGTAATAGTCTCTAGTTAAATATGTTTGGGCTGGAGCTACCCTGCCCATAGTTTGGAAGTCTAAGTTCTCCTTTTATGTCAAAGAAAGGATAAGTACTAGACAATTATCTTTCGCAGTTTGGTTGTATGTCTTCCTAAACTCTGTATAACTTTGCTTTTAGATTAATTTTCTTTCCTTTTGAGTGCCTGCTTTTGGACATTTTCTATTCCTCAATAATGATTAACTAAGATCCTTGAAACATAAACTAAAGAAGGACTAAGGGGGCAAACAGAAAAAAATATTACCTTTCATTTATGTTGTTGAATGCACGGTTTCATCCTTTGGACATTTTAAAATTCGAAGCATCTACCTTTATTTTGTGCCTTTGTTCTCATTCTAACTGATAGAAGCTTGATGATTATCACCAACACTTGGGTATTTTCCAGTTTCATTTTAAATATTCTCTTTAAATATATCCTTCAAAATCCTTAATACCAATGCTGCGAAAGAAATTAACTTAAGATACCTAGGTTGTTGATTTTTACTTTTACTACTTGCATTTTGTTATTTATTAGGCTCGATTTGGTTGTCATTTTTGCTATTTGCTTTTATTTTCTGAAAGCAAAAAAGCAAAAGCTCGTTTGGATGCATAAGCAAATCAGAAATTTGAAGGATTATACACTAAATATATAATTCTTTTAGAGGACAATATTGTGATTCCACCTCTACATAGACACTTATAATTGGTGTTACATTTTAATTATTCTTGAATTTAAAATTAATTATAATATTGCTTTTTACCTTTTGCTTTTGCTCTATAGCAATTCTTCAAAAAGCAAAATGAAAGAAGCAATAGTGTCAATCAAAGGAGCCTACTTTGTTGTTCACTCAAAAGTTGCTATAAAAGAAAGACAAATAGTAAAAATTAAAACAATATTTGATTCAAGGTTAGCAAATAGATATATGTAAAACTTTTCCAGACATGATTGTTTTATGTAAAAGTATGTCATGTCTTTTGTTATATTTGAAAAATATGACTTATAAATTTTCAAATTGTTGTTTGCTTTTGTATCCAAATGCATTTTTTGCATTTTGTTTTTGGAAGCCAAAAACAATTAGAAAAAAAAAAAAAACCACTGAGCTGAGCTTGAGATTTTCTTGTGAACTTTAGTTTTGCGTAAATTAATAAGTAAATAGAACACTTTTTTGTTGCATTCTACCCCTGTTTATCCTCGATAATGATTATTGATATACAGTTGGAACTCCTTTTTATCCTTCATAAGGCTCACCGATTTATGCTTAACAGTTAAAACCATTCTTAGGGTGCAAACTTGGCAAATATGTCTGATTGATACGATTATATCTATTGTTCCCTTTCACCTGTCTCAATTTTGTGGAGATTTCTTTTGGGGTCATTGTTTGATTTCCCCATCTTTTTGGTTAATAGAAAACTAAACAAGTGTTTCCAACTTCAATTGCAAGAATTCTTTTTAAGTAGAAACCTTGTAGAGAAATGGGCCAGTTTAGCCTGTGTAGGGTGGTGAATGCAGTTAAGTAAATGCATTCAAAGATATTTTGATAGCTTTTTAATGAAGATACTGATGACAAGGTGCATTCCAATGAGAAATTGTTCCTTGATTTCTTAAGTAGTTGATCATATCATCAATTGATTGCATTTGGAGGACAATCATTGATTTGCTGTATACCTTGAAAGTGTGGTTGAGAGAGATTCTATCTGAGTGAGAATACATGGAACTTGTTTTGCATAGTGGTCACTGCTACATGATGTTATATCTAAACTAATCCATTTGCTTCATGATTTGTTTATCATTTTTTAAATGAATCTTGTTGATACCTTGCAGTTTTATAATGTGATAAAAACAATGATGGGGTGGGATATCTAAATATGTGTGGTAAGGAGGTTTATATCAATAGGTTTACGGTGAGAGTTTATATGAATGTTCTGCTCTAATAGGATACCCTAAGATGTGACTTGAAATTTAGATTTTCAGAGCAAATGAAAACAAGTAATAAATAAAGAAAGAAAATTATTTCATTTTAGCTTCATGTGGTGGTGGTATTATTACATTTTGGTACCTTTGGTATCATCATGAATGAGACTTTTTTCTCTCCTTTTACTTTTCTGAATATATCATGGTCTGTTTAGTCTTCTGTTTTTATTTTATGAGGTATGACCACTGAGTTGTGCATTTCTGATCTAAAGAATGCCTTCAAAATTATTCAATCAATATATGTGGATGTGTAGATGACTTCTTCTGTGTCTTGGCTGAAGGTGTAAAATTTTGTGTTAAACTTCAATAACTTGCATAAATAGAATTAAAATTATGCTTCGCTGTTGCAGGTGACTAAATATAGCCAGCAGAGTAAGACATCAAGTGAGGGATTTGAATAATTGTTCGCTTTGTTATTAATGTTGTCTGTGTTGTAAGACTCTTATAACAAACCGGACATGATCTCTTTTTAATTTTCTTTTCTCCATTACGTTAATCTTTTTTTTTTCCCTTTTCCTTTCTTTTTAGCATCCTAAATATTGCTATTATTTGGGTTAGTCTATCTGTAAAAGTACATCGGATAATAAAATAAGTTTATTGTGATTTCCTGCTTGATATATATTACCTTGTTGATAAAGGATTTGTAGTTTTCATACCCAGTTTGATTGCTGTGTGATGGAGATGGAATTCAAACACGATACTGTCTTTTTCTGCTGTTTTGGGTTTAATTTAGGAGGTTGACTAAGATTCTCAACTGTTGTTCATACTCCTAAATTAGATCAGATGCAGCCTTAATTCATGCCATATAATCGCTTTGAATGTTGTAGATGCTCTCTCCTTGTTCATTTTAGTTGTCCAACATGTAGTTTTACCATGTTCGGAGATATGATTTGGCTTTTTGTTTTGGATTTATGGAGCTATCTTTGTGCATACGATGAAAGCATCTGGAAGCTGGCGACTGGGTTAGCATGCATTCAGGACCTGAGCAGTGGGTTTTGCAATGCCTTGCTTATAAGGAGTAGCGAGTTGTGTGTAAATTGGAACTATCAGGTTTTTGTTCACAGAACCAGAGTTTTACAGAAAGAAGGACAGAAAACAACAGAACAGAGGCTAGAGTTCATAAAGGCTACCAAAGTAATTTCTGTGCTGTTCACGTCTGCTTAATCCTCCATGATTATGCATTGTTACGGTGAGTTCGCAGCATCTGCAAGTTTTGGCGAGTGCAGGTTGATTGAGTCTGGCACTGAGAATAAGATGCGATTACAACAGAAGATGATGGGCAAGAGTGGGGGCTCTTAAATCTTGAGGCCTTTTCTTTTCTTGGATGTCAAGGCAATCTTTCTCAGTCAAGTGTACTGCCCTAAGCTGCATCCTGTCAAGCTACGAAGTACTTGATCTCCATTTTGGTCACTGCGAAGCTCGATAAAAACCTGAAAAGAGTTAACAATTGGAAGAAGGAAAGTATATCAAAAAGGGCAGATGAGTTAGAAGACAATCAAAACAAGTTTGAGAAAATAGATAATCAGATTTCCTCCTAAACTGGTATATATGCATGTGTTGAAACCAGGAGCTCCTTCGGTCCAATGGGTGGGCAAAGTATGTAGAAGGAGTTGCTCCCACACCATGCATCTGGTTGAACTTTAGGAGTTGCTCCTAAACTGCGGGGTCTCGTAAGTTTAGGTGTATTTTGGATCGTAATCTTTGATTATTATGATATATATATATATATATACACACATATTTATAGTCCTAACCTATTCTAACCACACGAAGAAATTAACGTTTCAATGTCTATGGAATAGTACTTAAACATTGGCATTTATTATTTATTTACGTTATTATGGCAACTATTTCTTTGAGGTCCGACCAGGCTAATGAAAAACCATTTTTGCTAACACATTCATTCTGTTAAATCAAACGTATGGTTTTTCACTCATTTTGTTCTTAACAAAATTGATGACACACACTAACGAAATCAGCTTCACAAATTATTTAACTTAAATAAACGATGTAGCTTTGAAAATTTGTGGAAAAAAAATTAAATTCCAACATTTTGGATAGTTTCCTGGGGCGACAATGCACAGAACAATTGCCCATATATATGCTAACAGTGCATGGGCTATGTATTCAGGTTTTTTTTTTAAAGTTTCACTTCAACAAGTTCTTAATTAAAGCAGGATTTTTTTAATGAAAATAAAAAAATAATAATAATAAAGAGGCTAGGAAATCTGCCCTATATTTTCTTGGCACGTAATTCAGTATGAGAGCTGTGGTGCCAGCCAAATAATTAGTCTAAAATATTCAACCCTTCAGTGCAAGTACAATTTGTTCGCTAACTTTCAAGTTTTTATAAAATTTAAGATGTTTTTTATCAAAATATTATTAAATATTTAAATAATAACGTTTGTACTTATAAACGTTATTAAAGATAAAAATTAACGATGTTTATCAACTAAAATGTCTTAAATAATTTTTTTAAAAAAATTAAAGTGATTATTGAAAGTATTTTTGACAGAAAATATCTTAAATAATCTCTTCATAAAAATAGATAAGGAATTGTTGAAGGCATTTTTTACAAACAACGCATTGAATAATCCTCTCATAAAAAATAGAGACGATTATTGAAGGTGTTTTCTCCGTCAAAATTAAAGGGGGCTATTTGCCTTAAAATCACCTCTTAAATAAAACTGAAGTAGCTTTGTTGGTTAGATCATACGGTTGTTAACCATAAGGTCATAGGTTAAATCCCTCCCCTTTAGCGTTTTTTGAATTTTTGAATGGATTATTTGTAAGGGATTATTCAAGGTGTTTCTGACAAAAAAAAAAAAAAAACCTTCCATACTCTCTTCAAAACAATAGGAAGGGATTATTGAAGGCATTTTTTGTCAAAAAATGTCTTGAATAATCCCTTACAAAAATTGAATAGGGTTATTTAAGGTATTTTTTTTGTTAAAAACACTTCAATAATCCATTCAAAAAATTTTAGAGAGAGAATATTGAAGACGTTTTTGGCCGAAAGCGCTTTCAATAATCTATTCAATAAATTTTTATGAGGGATTATTGAAGGCGTTTTGGATCAAAAATGGCTTCAACAATCCAAAAAAAAATTTTGGAGAGGATTATTAAAGGTATTTTTGATCAAAAATGCATTCAATAACCCAATTCAACATTTTATAAAGGATTATTTAAGGTATTTTTTGGCTAAAAACACCTTCAGTAATCCCATAAAAAAACATTCGATTTAATTATATATGTGAAGTCAAGTGTAAATTTATACCCATAAAATATTTGAAGTTAGTTGTAGGTTTATGCTCAGAAAATATTTGGTTTATATATGTAATACTACAAATTACATTTTGAAATTACATTACGAATATTGTAGTATTTCAATAAATTGACCACACATCCGAATTTAAAATCGATAATATTGTCATATAAATATATTTTTCTCAAATAATCATACTCAATATATATGTATTCATATAAGCTGACAATTGATAGAAAACAAATATATACTAATAATATTAAATCAATACCCAATCTAGAAACTTAAATTATCCATTCAACATGGCATGTTAAATACATTATAACAACTAAAATGCATATATTTACACCCAACCAACAATCTTTAACCTCAAGGTTTAGCATACGATAATACATACTCATACCACTCTTTACGGACTTTATCAAGTTCATATGTTATGAAGCTTTTTTATTCTTCCATTAAAAAAAATCAAAAGTAAATGTTAATAAACGAGAACATAATTTAGCTTTTTTTTTTTTAAAGATATAATGATTTTATGAAATTAATACAACCTTGAATGGTGTGGTCATAAAATCATATAAAACTATCTCCCTCATAAAACAAGGGACATAATATCTACATTCATTATATCCTGGTTAACCAGGTACCTAAAAAATAAATCGAGTAGGTTTAAGAAACATTTATTTAAACAAACTCAGCATAAAAGAATGATTTTCATATTTACCAATAATGACACCCAATTTATCTTTGCTTTTTTATCAAATGCAAATATTACCCTAAATTGAAAAAAAAATTACTTAATACAAAAATAAAAGTAATTATGAAGAAACAGAGGATAATATAATAACATATAATACCTCTTTAAAAAAATTTTAATATCGAGGTTAGGCATCGCTGTTGGTTGAGCGAAATTAAATAGGTATGGCATAAAGGAATTGGTATCAATCACAATAAGCTATCAATGACAACTGTAAAATAATAAGAATGATATATTCAAATTATGCATCATCTCATATTCGAGTAAGGTTAAAATAATTATTTGTATGAATATAACTTATGCAGCATTATATTTGGGCAAATAATAATCAGCTCATTTTTTCATACATTGAATCACACAACGAGCATGAAAAACGACTATGCCACTCTGTTCACTAATGAAATTCGGATCAATAAATCTAAATCTATAGGTCATTAGTCTTGTCTTGACCTTTTATATAGGAAGTTGCACGATAACAATCAACAATACTAGTTAGTAATATCCCGTAATATAGATTAATACATATTGACTTTGCATATTTATATTTATAAGCTAATATAATATAAGCAACAATATTAGCAGTTGATATTTCATCTAGGTTACAAAATTTTTTAACTTCATCGTCACCAATGTAAGAAACTAATAGTTGATCAAATAACCCATCCTCAAACTCAACATTAACGTAGTTTCCTCCAAATAAATGATAAAGTGAATAATTAGATAACTCATTAATGGCAGCATGAGCAAGGGTCATACTTTAAATCCCAACATCATGCTACAATATATAATGAAATATAAGTAATAAAATCAAATCAACAAATATAATAAACAAATAAATTTAAGTGAATAAACAGTACCATACTTTATAGTTGGTACCGGAGGTTGGGTTTCCTGCCTGACTTGCAACGAAAGCTTGTCCTAGGTGAATGATGCTATCCGACTAGCCTACAGGCATGCTACGTTGCATTGCTGCCAACATTGTCTCTAAAGTTGTGAGTCATTGCTGTTGCTCATTCAGTTGTTGTTATTGCTCATTCAAGCGTTGCTCTTGGTCATCAAGTCTTTGTTGTTGTTTCTCAATGATTATTTCATATTGAGCATTCGTATTGCCGATTGCAACACAAGTTGTTTACACTCAATTAGGATGTCAAATCATTTCTAAAAAATTTAACATAATTAGTATGAACATAGTGAATTTCAATTAAATGATCATTTAACAAATTTTATGAAATAGTTAAATAAACATACCACAACCGACTCTCATATACGATCCTTTAGATCATTAAAAACTTGTCGCCAATTATGGTACGTAATTAAAATGGTACTACGAATGACTGCTCCAATATGAGTAACCAACTTGGCAGCATCATCAGACACTGGCTACCCATTTTGATTAAAGTCGATGTGAATTTTGGTGTTAGTCACTTCAATTTGTTTATTTCATCCTCTTACTTTTCTTTTTTGGCCTATAAGTGTGTCTTCTTCATGTTTAGTAGTAGGAAGAAGTATGTTGTTTGGATTCCATAATACCTGTAATTTTATCATAATTATACAAAATACACCAAACTGTTTATCTAAATTTCACACATTATGTAAT